TATAGTGGTGAGTATCTCCGCCTGTCACGCGGAAGACCGGGGTTCAATTCCCCGCCAGGGAGTTAAAATTTTTGGAAAACTTTTTATACCAGTAAACATGCAATGACTGTTCGAAAAGGTTTCTTCGATTTAATGGAGCATTGTCATGCTTTAGTAACTAAACCATCCATTTTGCCCAGTTGCACTCCTTCAAGATCGAATTGATTTTAACGGCACGTTATCGAAGCGGATAATATAAAAAATAGATAAGCCGTACTAGTCTAATATATAATAGAAAATAAAACTCAGGATATTCTGTACTTTTATGACTAGTTTATTAATGACAGTACACAAGCTTTCACCTGAAGAAGTGCACTGTGTGCACGAAAGCTTGTGTACTGTCATTAATAAACTAGTCATAAAAGTACTGAATATCCTGAGTTTTATTTTCGGATAATATAAGTGCATGTTGACGACTCGTCCTTGGTAGTATAGTGGTGAGTATCTCCGCCTGTCACGCGGAAGACCGGGGTTCAATTCCCCGCCAGGGAGCATTTTTAATTTTTAATTTTGATAATGATGATAATGAATCAAACGAAACGTAGTACTGTATTCTGATCACATTCCTTTACATAATATTTTTTACATTTCTATTTTTCATAATTTTATACCTTCCCTATCACCAACATATTGACAATGAATCTAGTTCACAGTTTGGTGTTGTGGGATACAGCCAGGGGTGGATTTAGTGGGGGCTGCGTCAGCCACAACCTCATTTTTTGGAAAGTAAAAAATTAAAAAAATTAAAGAAAAAAACTTATTGATAGCCCAAAACGCCTCAGAGGTTATTTATGGGCGTATAGAAAACAAACAATTCTAGACGCCCTAGGGTAGTGTTGTTTCTTGATCAAGGCCCCCAACCCCCACTTTCAGACATCTCTGGATCTACCCATGACAGCACGTTTAAAAGTCCATAAAAGGAACTTTTGACGAGAAGTATTATGCTATAAAATGTTATTGTTTTCCGCCACCCATCCGCCTGTTTCAGATTTTTTTGATAAGAAAACTCATAGGAAATTAAAAAAACAAGCAAATCAAATTACAGTAACATGATTATGAAACAAGAAAAAAAAAAGTAGAATTAACACACACATATTTAAATTGGATAATTTTATTTCACAAAAAATTTACGACATAATTTCCATAGAATTTTAATGGTATATATATGCCTCATTATGTTACGCTTCAAAAAATTAGAGTTAACACACATATATTTAAATTGGATAATTTTATTCCACAAAATATTTACGAAATAATTCCCATAGAAACTTAATGGTATATATAGGCCTAATTATGTTACGTTTGAACATAAAAATACACCTGAAGAAATATAAATTGATGAATAACCTTCTCATTCATTTCAAGGTTTGCACAAAATGTAACCAACGGCAGCCATGTTCAGCCACCTGTAGCTAAATTACGACATGAGATCATTAATTTCCTTTTAACACAATATTATGGAGTAATTTGGCATTAGTTATATCATGATGGTATAGTCCATTGTTTTTAATTTTGTGAGCTCTCAGTCCTGTTCATTTCAGCTGCATCTTAGCTGGTTCTCCCTCATGACATGCTAGGATATCTTTTTGGCTTTTGCTTTACTCCTGTTCTTCTATATTCTTCTCTCTCCTGTAGGTATTCCTGTGTGCACTCTTCAATGAAATATATATATAAAATATATATATACTCTATATATACTGTGAATCATCAAAGGTATATATATATATTTGGGTATTAAAATTTTGTTTTAGTACTGAAAGTAAATCTGGTGGTTTTACTCCATCTTGTCAGCAAAAATCACTTATAGTGTTGGATAGAATGAAAAGAAATGAATTAATGAAAAAAGGATGGGTGGATGAAGGGATGGATGGATGGATGAATGATTGCAAGTATAAATCAATAAGTGAACAAATGTGAACTTACTGTTTGGTTAAACATTCTTTCAATGCTGAATTTCATATTTTTAAAAAAAATGTAATTTTTGGGTATTAAAATGTTGTTTTAGTCCTGAAAGTATTAATCTGGTGATTTAACTCCATCTTGTCAGTGAAAATCACTTATGGTATTGGATAGAATGAAAAGAAATGAATTAATGGAAAAAGGATGGATGGATGAAGGGATGGATGGATGGATGATTGCAAGTATAAATGAATAAGTACACAAATGTGAACTTACTGTTTGGTTAAACATTCTTTCAATGCTGAATTTTCTGCTCTACATTTATAAACCATTGCAAGGGAACTTTCTTTACAACATTTTGTGAAATCTAGAGATAAAAACAAAGAAAGTAAAATGTTTTTATTAAATTGTCTTAATCTTCCTCATTACTGCAATGAACCAACAAAAATAGCTGCTGCAGTCTGTCACTATTTGAATACCTAAATCCTGAAAATAATACAATTTCAAGTATTAATGGTAGGTCTTAATACAGTACATTTTATCTTCATCGCTCAATATTTAGGCCTACTTTCAATATGTTTATGTCATTTATGCAAATTCAATAAACTTTGAATAACCATGCAATAATTCAAGAAACCAAAATCATACCAGCAACTTCTTTGTCACACAAAATCTTTGCCTTTTCTCTTATCTTCTTTGGAATAAGCACTTCCAATTCCACCTTTCTGAGCTTTTGGGAGTTAACTAAAAACAGGAAATATTTTATATAAAATCTTGTATATACACGAAAACAAACATCAAATTCCTCCTGGGTGCGAATGAAAATATACAATGTTGCTTAATAACAATTTATAACTTACAGATTAGTGGAGGAAGCAAAGGGAAGGGGAACAGCTGGCCCGGGCCCCTAAATTTTCGCAAATAAAAAAAAAAATGGGGAAAAAAGAAAATTATATTCTAAAATTTATGTCTGAGAATGTCATTTCCGAGGTATCATATTAATCATAAATATCCTTACCTACACTACATCTTTGAAAGTCCCCCACCCACCCACTTCAAAATTGCAATCTCCCGGAAATGACTTCTTCCAACTTGGAACCCCTGCCATTCGGATTCTGGATGCTCCCCTGATAATTAATCATTCAGTACATGGTACGGGTCGTCCATCTTCACAATCGTTACGTGACCCGATCACCTCGTTCCCCCTTGACTAATCTAGTCTAGGAGGATAGGCTGTTCGCTGATTTAACAATCCCACACGTGTGTAGTGTTACTTGTCCTACCAGATAGATCACATAAATGCAATGTGGATAATGCTAATCCTGCACTGTCTTTATGAGACAATAAATTGTTCGATATATTTTTTTTGTAGCTTACTTGTTGTATCTGTGTTCGAGGTCATTATCCACTCTTGATGATTGTTATGCTCAGACCTTTGCCATTTTTAAAAGACCGATGATCATTAATTTATTATTTTTCGTGCACGTCAGCCCCGCGTCGAGTGCAAATAACTACAATACAAAATGCGAAACAAAGCGGTTTATTTATAAATATGTTTAATGTTATGTAATGCTCGGCAACATAATTAGTTGATATGGTATATCATGATAAAATATGAACACAATATAGATTTACACTTGAGCTAATAACTTACGTTAATCATGTGTATTTTCATCACAATTCTAATATTAGTGGATGACGAGGTCTAATTTTTATATTCTGTTGAGCATGCGTAGAAGTTAATTTGATCATAAGTTTATTGAGAGATAGCCTAGCACAGAAAATGCCTTTATTTAGTAGTTCTTCTCCATTTGATCAAGATGTTGGTAAGAATAATTATTAATGTAGATATTTAGTACACGTTATGTATTATTTTGATGCTAATTGTGATGTTAATGGTTCACATTAATGGACTCTTCTTTCAACGTCACTCTCTAGCCTAGGCTAGGCCTAGGCCACAGTACATACACTGTCAAGGCCCTGTCTCTTATACACATCTAGATGTGTATAAGAGACATTCTTCTCCATTTGATCAAGATGTTGGTAAGAATAATTATTAATGTAGATATTTAGTACACGTTATGTATTATTTTGATGCTAATTGTGATGTTAATGGTTCACATTAATGGACTCTTCTTTCAACGTCACTCTCTAGCCTAGGCTAGGCCTAGGCCACAGTACATACACTGTCAAGGCCGAATGCGTCCGGGCCTAGCCTATGCTGGTTTGACACTACCGATATGACGTAAGCTATAATTATAGTAGGCCTAGAACGCAGGGGCTAGTTTAGCATCGAAGTACACAGTTACGACTATGCTCATGATTCCGTTTAGCCCGCGAACCAATTCGGCCGCGGTGTATTTTCTATTTAACATCCAGAAATTCACTATCCGTAGGCCTAGGCTAGCCTACACTACATTACAACAATACCAACTCTCCCACTGATTTGACAAGTACAAAGAGACCCCATGTGGGGGCCCTAGCAGTCCCCCTGGCCCAGCTCATTGGGAGGGGGACACCCGCTTCCAAACCCACTCTATGCTCAGCCTCTGTCTGTCCGTCGGTTTGGCTCTGTACCAAAATACTCACAATCAGAAACAAGTACTAGTACTATAGGGCAGCCTAGGCCTACATCTTATTTTGTTCTCTTGATTTTTATTATTACTCAAATGTTGGCATTATTTATATTTATAAACATACTGTAGGCCTAGGTGCCTAGCCCTAGGCTAGGCCTACATAGTCTAGGCCTATAGGGCCTAGCCTTTATTTATTACGGTATTTGGAAGTGGATATATTTACGTCGCCGTAAACAAATCAGTAAACGATATATTTACGTAAATGAAACAATGCATGCGCAGTCATACTTTAATAAACTTGCATTTTCAGCGCTGCGTGGCCTCCAAGCCGTGGGGATTCCCCCTAGTTCACCACGGCACTACTTAATTTATAATTTTGTTTTTTATTTTTTATTAAACGTAATTTAATTTTCTACAACAGCATATGTAGTTTAATCACTAAATAAATTATTAAATCATTGTGTTACCTTTTCAAATAAAAGTGATATTATGAGCTGGAAATGTATGTTCATTTTACTCAAACTTTTAATGAATGAACACACTTGACCAAAATACAAGGCCTAGGCCTACGCGAGGTTTCCTTGCTAAACTCAATTAGCACGAAATCAAGACGATATTCTTCTAGGCCGACCTGTATTGTTATACGATAGTCAATCATCACAAATTAAATAACATCTATAATAATAATAATAATAATAATAATGACTTTATTTGAAAACGGAAAACTTGATCACAAATTAAATGTGTTTTTCACAAGGCCGTTTCTGAAGTACATAATAACAAAATTTAAATTACAAAAACAATTACAAGACAAACAGAAATAAAGAAGTAAAAGAGACCAAAATAAAACAATTACTGTATTATATCTTAATGTTTTCATTCAAACAAATTTACCCACGCCGTCACTAACAAAAACAACATCGTTATAGTCTTTAGTTGGGTCGAGCAGAGCCCCGATTGATCGCGAAGAACATACAGGAAGACCACGTTTGGACAGCACATGATCCACTCTACAAAGTACTTCGCTATGAAGCAAGAAGTAAACAACGAATAATAATATGCATGTGTTTTCTGTAAGATATTTAATCATTACGAAAAAGTGAGACCAGGGAGATTATTTATAGGGCCTAGACTCGTCAAAATGAAGCGCCAACAAATTTCTCATGATCTTTTACCAGCAATTTTTGGAAATCTAATTAATATGTGTGATGTACCATAGAAAATAGAAGTTAAAAACATTGTTTTTGATGTACTTAGTTTACTAACTTCCAAGCTGTGAGTCCATACATCCACCTCAGCCCCACCATGGTTGAGGCGGAGGTGAGAACATTTGAGGAAATAGTACCTCTAGATACCCAGAAATGACACTTTTATCACCATTATATAGTCAAAATGAAGCGCCAACAGATTTCTAATGTTTTACCAGCCATTTTCGTCAACCATGGAGATGAAATTCCTATGTGTGATGCATCATAGAAAGTGAAACTTAAAAACACTGTCTTCAATGTATACTTATTTTAGGCCTACTTACTTCAAAGCTGTGAGATCATACCTTAAAATAGTACCTCTAGTTTGCTGGAAATGACACTCTTATATTATAATTCATTATCATCGATTTAATTAATAGCTGTGATGTGCCATAGAAAAGAAAACTGAATTGACTTATTTAATTGAGGTATTTAATTTACTTTACCTACTTCATGTGCCGACAACCAATCTTATTACTATTATTAAATATTATTATTATTAGCACTCGAGTCGTGTATAATACTGTACGTAATTCAGATGTTTGTGGGGCAGAGATACATCTTTAAAAGCTGGGTCATTTATGCAGCTCATTACAACAATTTTCAGGCATCTTTTTGACATACCAAATTACATTGCGGATGAAAAATGAGAGGATCCCCCCTCCCACCCACCAAAATACGTTTCCTTCCATTTCAGATTTTTTTTGGAATTAGTAGACAGCTAGACGCGCTTAGATGACATCTGAAAAGAAGTTAGGCTAAAAATAGAAAGTGTCTGTTTTACCAGGGTAGCCTACTACAACTAACATCCATGTATACATGAGAAGCACACACACAAGACGAGTGACCCACACCATTAAAACAGGGAGATGTAATTTACAACCTGAAAATCTAAAATATACACAGAGAGCATCAACGAAAACTGAAACTGAAAGACCTGCACGAATATATATAAAAAAAAGAAATTTTCAGCGTCTTTTTGTTAATAATAAGGTGAAATTTAGGCTACCGCAGAGAATGAACTGTACAGTGTAATGTAATGCCTGGTTACTATTTGTGTGTTTGTGTTCCTAGGTCCTTTTAGTACAATTGAAATGTAATTTCTGAATACACAAACATTACAAAGCCAGGCTGGCTCAGAAGGAAACAATTTCTTTTATATGCTGTACAGTAATGAATTTTTGAAGACACTGAAGAGGCATTTGAAGAAATAGTCATGAATCGGAGAATTTTTACAGTTTTATTAATGGGAAATTCTGGAGCTATGCCACTATTTCAGCTTACATTTTACATCCAATACCCAGTAATCATCACCTCAGCAATGGAATTTGTCTGTTGTCAGCAATACCTAAATTCATACTCAATCATTTCATAAAGTAACGTGATATGATAATAATATAATTTTCTCCATGTTTATTCCACAGAGAAGGCAACATCTGAAAGCAACACCTCAGACAACTGGGGTGTTATTATGGATATTTGTGACAAAGTTTCTGCTACACCTAATTGGTAAGAAAGACTAGTCAATGTGTGGTTCTCTTTTTAATGTAATCATACAGCTTTTAAAAGTATATAAATAAAATATATAAATATATACATCATGAAGAGCAAAGGATATTAATCAAATTTGAAACATCAAAACAGTCTATCAATATCATATTTAATTAATAATTGTAGTAAAAGACCAAATTTTTTAAGATGGTTTTTATTAGGCATTGGAATAATTATAGTTATTACTTTTAAATAGTATTTGTGTCAAAAATCTTCCCACCCCCCCCAAATAATTGAAGCTTCTATTGAAGGGATACTTTTTATTGCCTGTGTCATTGTAATCTATCATGATACAGATCTTGTTTTAATGTAGAGCTATTATGAGTAAATCTTTTCTCCTTTCTTTTTGTCAAAGTTCAAAGGATGCAATGAGGTCAATACTGAAGCGACTTCGACATCCAGTTCCTCATGTTGCGATGCAGTCACTTACTGTAAGTTTACAACTAATGGAAAATAGATTGGCTGCATAATGAACCCTTCTAAAGTGTCGGTCATACTGACCAATCAGAACACCGCCAAAGTGTGCTCATGTCCCACAATCATGTGTTTGTGTATGTTGAAACCATTGTTCTGTGGAAGTTTTACAATAATATCCAAGGGAGGGGTGGTGGGTGTTCTTACTTAGCAGAATAGTCCATTCTGTAAAAGAATTCAGTATGCAATGTTTCTACAGGCAAGTGGTTGGTGACTGTGTCAGTAGCAAGAGAGTGTTTAACACACCATCAGTAAAAAACACTGTCATTTTCAAAGCAAAGTTCAAGATACATGTTTTTATGTCAGTACATGACACTGATCTATGATTTACCGTTCAAGCTTGGTCTTGAGCAAATCATACCAATCGATACACATGTTTCACAGTACAAAAATGGGTCATTACTAGAAATTTTACAGCAATCAAATGTTTGAACTTTGTGAACCCTGGTGAATAAATGGGTGCAAAGTTGTATTTCTAATGAGTGTAGCTAGATACAGAATCATTCATGATATTTCTTTAATTTATTAATTTTTTTGGTTTATTTGTATTAACACAGTGTATTGCACTGACAATGGCAGCAATTATTTACCGTACTTCCCATTAACAATTCTCAGACCTACTGTACACTCTGAATGGAACCCAATATTTTATGCTCCAGTATAAACATTTACATTAAAGTGTCATCAATTTAACCCCATTTCTATAGATTCCCACCTTGGTTTTGCATGAACTTCTTTAAGCTTTTAAGCCAATTTTATAATTTCTGTTGAGAATCAATAAGTTAACGTGTTTTATATTTTTTAGTTCTGTAATAAGTTAGTTAATGTTCTTTGATGGCAATTGGATAAGACTCACTGCCTCTTGATTGTCAATTTTTAAAGCAATTGTAAATTCTTTTGTGTTATTTCTATACAAATATGTTTTATTTTTGTAGGTTCTCGGAGCCCTTGTTAATAACTGTGGTAAACAGTTTAAAATAGAAGCTGCCTCCAGGGAATTTTGTAGTGAAGCAAAAAATATTATCATGAAGGTTTGTGTACAATTTGAAGTGTCTGCATATTTCTTACTAGATTATTTCAATTTCAAATCAGAATGAGAAAATATTTCCTCACCATAATTTATGTAATACTCTTCCTTATTCAGTGGTATAAAATTTTAAACGGTTGTCGAAAAGTCTGTAAAGTCCTTATTGTTTTTGTTTGTCTCATGGAATTTAATTATACTCGAATCCTCTCTCACTTTATAGCATAACATCTCTACAAATATTGTTCTATGCATTTTTGTTGGAATTGGAGGTTATTTGGTCGATTGATTAATATGCAATTCAAGTATTTTACCACTCCCTTTAAAAATATGTTGTTTATGTTTATAAAAATTGCCTCTCTATTTGGAAGTGTTACAATGGACATAAAATTTAAAAAATTTCTAAACACCGCATTCCTAGACATACATAATAATTGGAATTATAGAATCCCTATGCCTCAGTCTTACTCTTTCATTTAATTAAGCCTTATAAATTCAAATTTGTTGGCATTTACATAAAAATGTGTGCTTACAGCAACAGCATCAGGAAGTAGTTGCTCACACTACACATCCTTATTACAACTTATTTAGAGTGGAGTTGAATAGCTTGGTGGTTAAGATGTCTGCTTTCTTATCCATTTCCTTGGCCCTAGTGCCTAAAGCTGAATGTAAAAAAAATAATAAACCACAACTTGTAAAATTCAAAAGGCAGTTTGTAGACATTATGTAAGGAATTTAAAATATAACTGTTTATTTTCTTCTACAGGGTCATCCAAAACTTGGGGAAAAACTGAAGTTGATGATAAAAGACTGGGCTGAAGAATTTAAGAGTGATCCCCAGCTGAGGTAAAACTAAATCATTCGTTTTATTGTGTTGAGGTTGGCTAGAGACAAATTTTATATACTACATGAATCCAATTTTGATTATCGCATTGCCAGTTATGTTTATGGTGTTTGTAAACAAGCCACTAAAATGTCAAACAAACAGGCTTTAGTGAAAAATTAGTGTTAGCAAAAGAATTGGAAAATTGCATAGAATGTAAAATGATCAAGATTGACTTATGATACTAATTATTATTACAATATTAATTCCATTTCAGTTTAATTCCGGCATTATATCAAGAATTAAAACAAGCAGGTCATGATTTTGCACCGGATAAACAGGTCAGTGAATGAACTATAATTTACTCCCTCGTATGTTGAACTTTGCATAATAATAAATAAAAGATGTATATAAAAAAGTACAGTACTGTACTACATTTTTTTAATTGATGCAATGTATACAATGATCTGTTAAAATGTAATTATGTAAGGAAAAATGAATTATGCATTATGAAGTAATGAAAGGATTGGGACGTTAATTACATTAATATTTTTAAAAGATAAAGAAACACCCCCCCCCCAAAAAAACAACAAAAAACACCATAATATTAACATTATGGTCATAAATTACAACATCAATAGGTCAAAATTTTATAACAATATGTTTTATATATATGTAGCCTGCGAGGAGTGCACCAATTTCTACCAATCCAGATGTAGTATCTAGTCAGCAAGAAGAAGATGATATTGCAAAGGGTGAGCATAATTGAAGCTAATGTTTATATTGGTTATGGCTGCTCTCTTAAAACTTGCATTTATTATTATGTTTATTATTATTATTATTGTTATTATTATTAATTTATTACTACTGTACTACTACTATTATTATCATTATTATTATTTTTTATTTGTTATTATCACATCAAAGGTTGAAGTTTGATTTTTTTTTATCTCAACACAAAAAAGTATATCGTAAATTATGTTTTATTTTTCTTAATTTAGCTATTCAACTATCCTTAGAAGGGAAGGGGTCATCCGGCGTCGCCAGTAGCAGCCTGTATCCTACCACTAACATAGCATCAGTAACGGCAACAACTCAGCCCAGAAGGGAGTCTCGTAAGGTCAAAGCTCTCTATGACTTTGAAGCTGCTGAAGATAACGAGTTGACCTTTAAAGCAGGAGAGTTCATTAGTGTGCTAGATGACAGGTCAGTTATTTGACGAATCAAATCAATACTCTCATTTGTGGTTCTCATGCTGTAAAGCAATAGGAACCTTTGCAATCGTTCATGCATGTGCGACCGTACGTTTGTGAAGCTGGCGTGGTCAAATTTGTCAAATATTTAAAAACAACTGTTGGTTATGAATTGTTTGCATACATGAAGTTTTGGTCATGTAATTGTACCCTTTTGCTTGAAAACTTTTTTGGATAACATTAAAGCAATACACAAGAATTTATTAACCCCACTCTATCCAGTACAGTTGGATTATTGAATGTTTATTTTGATGTAAACCAAATCCAATTGCCTGACCTTTCGAAATGATAATTGGACTCTAGGGAATGTACCAAAATGCAAAGACTAGCTTTAGATTGGAGGACATTAAATAGACGATTCTCCCTGTTTTAAGTATTTTTAAAATCTATATTTTTTTAGCTCTCTTTAAATAAAAGGCCTGCAAAAAAAATACCTATTCCTTAAGATCAGCTTGGCTAAACAAAATACCAGTAAAATTTCTACTTTTCATTTTATCACTTGCAATAAAGTTATTTATGAACTTATGTAAAAGTAATATTTCTTTTTATTTTGTGTTAGTGATGTGAATTGGTGGAAAGGTGAAAATTCCAGAGGACTTGGCCTTTTTCCTTCCAATTTTGTTACAGCAGATTTAACAGCAGAAACTGAAGCGGGTAACTAAAATTACACAATAAACTGATTCACTTCTTGAAACATACCAATTGCAAGACAAGACGTTTTTATACCTTCTTTAGCGAACCAGCCGTCAATAATGATGATTTCGAATAAATATAAAATAAAATTTTTGGCCAATTAGCACACCTGCTAAAAAAATTAAAATTTCAGAAAAAAAAAAATTGTCTTTGTTTTTGTTACGCCTGCCGTTACCGTGACAAATAAGAAATGTATATTTCTTCCTTATTCTATAAATTTAAAGCATTTAACCCTCCCATTACTAACTACAATGTTTACATTCAACAATAATTTTTTTTTTTAATCCTCCATCTCAATGTTTTTGGCAAAACCATTTGTTAGATAAGAAAGCTAAATTTTATTTTTTTCGCTTTCCTCTGATGATCTTTAAAAAGTTCGCAAAACAAAGTATAAAAAAAATCTTGCCTAATTATTTAAGATTATTTTGTTTATTTTATGTTAATTTGCATTCAAAAGTGATATGCTAGATCGTGAATAAGTCAATGAATCATATGAATGAAAATATTTGAACCCACTTGTTATTGAGGTTAATTCAGAAACCTGTTTTTTTGATAGACATCAAAGCTAGAGAGAAAAAAAGTGTTTCATTTGATGAAAAAGTTGAAGTACATGCTATTGAAGCAGCTCCAGTAGTTGTAGCGATTGATGAAAGTAAAATGGAAGAAACTTTAACGATGCTTCAAAATGCAGATCCAACAGAAGAACGGCCCGATCCTCCTGAGATGCTTGTGTCTGAAGGTAGTATTCTTTAGCATATAATACTTTGCCACAGATGGGCAAAGTGCGGCCCAACAGTGATTTTTTTTTGCGGCCCGCGAAAATGAATTAAGACACCTATCGCCTGTAAAAAGTAATATTAAAACTGAGCATAAAGGGGTATAAAAACAGTGCATGAAGTTTTTTTGGAAGTGCACTGGAAACCTAGAACTTTGGGTGTGGCCCTCGGTTTTTTTAACCAAATTAACTTTGGTACCCCGACCAATTTTTATCACCACTCCTGCTTTATGTCTTGAAGAATCTGGCATAGCTGTGAAGCCATGGGCATCAAATCGAAAGATGGGTTTTTTTTATGTTTCAGTTTCTGTTTATTGTTACATAAAAGGTTACATGAAATTCTTCTTGCAAGATTCAACATACACATAAATAAACTTAATATAAAATATTATTTTGGGTTTGAAGCTAACCACTTATTGGGGTTCTACAGCATTGTACTGTATTCATATGTTCTCTTTATTTTATGAGTACAAGTGGGTACCACCTGGTAGGGTTCATACACCATTCTGCTGAATTTAATCTCAATTAAAAAAATTAAAAACATTTTTCATTATATGTATTTTTGTAGAAACTTGTAACCGTATGGCTCCGCTAATAGATCAAGAATTAGAAAGAATTGATCGTGAACACGCTGATTTGACAGGATTGAACGAGAAACTAGTTAAAGCATTTGATTTATACCAGAAGTTAATGAGAGAGGCACCAGTGTATGGGTATGCATTAAGGACATCTGTTCCGGGATCTTATAATGCTATGCCATCACAGGTAAATACTTGTCCATTCATTTGAAATGACCATTTGAGACTGCATACAAGTTAAAGCATTCTGCAACATACCTTATATGTAAATTATCTAATAGTATGATTTTTAAAGCAGTCTTTCATTAAAAAAGTCTTGTGCCGCTTGAAATAAGCAAAGGGTATAGAAAAATTATGTTGCTTGAAAACAATATCAACCACGATTTTCTTCCCCACCCTTTGACGACCTTTTGAAAGTAAACCTATCTAAATTCTAAAAAATGTTTTTAAAACATTCTTGCCTGAACCCAAAAAATATTCTAGTAGAAACTGTTAAAGAAACAAAAGAAAATAAATACCGAGGAACCAGCATCACAGCTCGATTTACCCACAATTATAGGATCCCACATAACTTTATCATAAGTAGTTGAATAGCCATATTAGTCAGTAAATACAAACGGATAAATGAATTGGTAGTATTTATATGACTATCATTAATTTTAATTTCAAGAGCTTTTTCCCCAAATCAATGAGGAGGCATCATCAGGTGTATTCATGCAGTGAATACAACCATAATATTTTCTACACTGCAAAGTGCTACCAACTCATTTAATTGGAGATCAAATGATACTGGTATCTGACTAACTTGTTATACCCAAAAAACCCCCTAAAGTTGGCAGAAAATATAATAGTATGGGAATTTAACTATGACGGTTAAAATGGAGATATAGACATGATATGTTTTATAGCTTGCTCACACATACAGCATTTCGCCAAATGTAACAACTTAAAAATTTTAGCAGTTTGCTAAATAATAGGAAGCCTTAGATTTGCACGATGACTCTAGAACGGATTCACTTATACGTGACCGTTATTAATTTCTCTGCTCAAGGTAGATTTGGGCAAAACTGCATCCTAGAATTCAAACAACATGGGCAGATGACTACCATTGTTGTACAATTCAAAGTTTCCTAATGACGTCCACTATATCAAACATCACAAGACACTTTGTGTTTTTTTCTGTTGACAGTATTCGTCTCTGCCTCTATACATGTCACAAGGTGCAATGATGTCTGGCATGCCTGTTGGAATGCCACCACCACATATGATCACATCTGCTCAAAGTGGTCAGGCCATGACATCAGGTCTGCCACAAGTTGGGCCATTACCTCCCGCAATGAATGGTCATGCTCATGGTTTGATCCCAGGTTTGGCACAAGTCCCTGGGATGGAGCATACAGGGCAGATGCAATATACATCAAGGTAAATCATCTTCATTTATTTCTTATTAAAAACTGAGTGGCTCATTCAGAAAAATGCACTCGTCTCATAAATATACCTTAATTGATAGGCTATAACACAGGGGGCAAAGTGCGGTCTGCGGGGCGTGGCAGCCCGAAAACAATTTTTTTCTGGGAAAATGAATTTAAAACCCTATGTGTGCGGCCCATCAACCAACACTGCCTAGAAAACATGTTATTTTTTACTGCCTAACACCAATTATCTGAAAAGAGTAATGTTAAAATTGAGAATAAAGTGGTGTAAAAGCAGTGCTTGGAGGTTTTTGGAAGCATACTGGAAACATCAAAGTTTGGGTGCGGCCCACAGTGTTAAATCAAAAATTCACTTTGGCCCTCTGACTGATTTTTATGCCCACCCCTGGACTATGAATGATTATAGTGGTTAGTACTTTACTTTGATTATGACATTGTTGGCAAGACCTATCAGATATCAATACTACTAAATTGTAAATGCTGATAATAATAAAAAAAAAAAAACCAATTACAATTTACAACAAAAAAGAATACTATTTTTAGTTTAGATACATATTCTCTTTCCTTACAATACATTTTAATCATATTTTTCTGTTTTTAGTTTTTGTTATTTCATTTTCCTATTCTCTAATCTTCACAATAAATTATAAAAAATGTTGGTTGCTCAATGAAATAATGAGTTGTCTTCTAATAATAATAATAATAATATATAGAGGTCAGTTGAAATGGTCTGAGACAGTGAAAGATTTCTGTATACAAATGTTTTTAATTTTGCATGATAATTTAACATAGTCCCTTCTCCATTAAATAATGAATCAATTATGATTTAGTCCAATGCAGAGTGGAACATTCACACATCAGAGCACAAGCGGTCCTGGTATGTCGGTGACTGGGGAGATGATGCCAGCAAATCAAGGAGGTAGTACAATAGCTCTTTCCATGATATCTCATTCATCAAACCAGCCATCATCGTTACCGTCAGTGGCGCAAATGGGAGCCGGCAGCATGAACATCACATCAGGCCCCTCGTCGTTACCAACGATGCAGACCACAGGGGACTTGACAGCAGCTTATAGCAACCAGGGGGGCATTGCAGCATCTCAGATGCCACCATCATATCAATCAATTTCTCCACCCACCCAGCAGCCTGTGTACACCCAACCTCAGCATGAGTTTTTACTTTAGCCTAAAGTACTAACAACATTTTGGTGGAAAGCAGGTCCATATTTATGAATGATCAAATACCTAATCATGTTTTGTTTCTTGGAAATCACACAATTTATCTAGGAATGTGTTACTCATTAGTTTTTTTTAATGATCAATTTTCATCAAAGAGTATAAATAGAAGAGCACATACTCTTGTGTGTAGTAGAAAACATCACTCCCTAGTGTAAGACATCCACTGCCGTTTGTATGTTCCTCGACATGAGTGTTCTGAAGTACGCCCACTATGAACTTGGTAAGTAGAAAATAGTACTGCATCATGTGGAAAACTGATAAACAAACAGACCATGCGTGGTGCAGGACGCAGGTGAACATACAAATGACAGCGGGCTGGGTAGGGCGTAACGTTTGTTCACGCCTTCAGTGAGCACAGTTGGCTTGCTTGTTCTATTTATACTCCTTGGTTTCATTAAGCATATGTACAATAATATAATTTCATCATGATCATTTGTGGAAGCATCTTGGTCGGGGTTTCAATCCCTCGCTGTACATTTTGCTTGTGTACTTGAGCAAGGCACTTTATCTACATTGCTTCTCTCCACCCAGGAGTATAAATGGATACCTGGTGGGGTTGCCTTCTACTGTGCCAATGTTGCAGCAACACTTAAGTATGTGGACACAATGACCAGGGAATACTAAAATAACAAATAACATCTTGCACAGCAGACTTTCATTGATTTGTTCAAGACCTTGCTCAAGACCGTTTGATTGGACGTAATTTAGGACTCAAACTTGTGACTTTCCAATAGTCTTGAATTCGAGTCCGATGCTGGCTATAATACTTGTACCCTTAGTTGAGGCACTTGTCTACAATTGTATCTTTTCACCAGGAGTAAAACTTAAGTACAGTACATGGTCAGAATTGAATGCTTGGAATGAAGTTTGTGTTGATTATGTACATTGCTTGAATTACACCCTGAGGACTATTCCTAGTTTAGATTCCAAACATGACTAGGAATATGCCGGAAAGAGTTGAGAATGCTACATATTTTACATGATTGCAACGACAAGAAAAAGGATATGTATATAAGTTATGACCATTATTAAATATCTGTTATTTATAATATTTTGAAATATTGCAAGCGATGATAGTAATTTTGTCATACACGCATACAGTGTGTTATGAGGCTGCCTGTATGAAGAGCGCAACTGAAACAGCTATATGTGACCTCCCATTACAAAATAATTCCTCTTGTATAAAAAAAAAAAGTTATATTCCCACCATCAGTATAAAACAACATTTATTTTGCAATTTAAATTTTGTTAATATCAAATCTGCTAGTTAGGATATTGCTTTTATGTATGAAATTGAAATTATAATGTATGTCACTGTATACAATGTATAAAATATTATAGATTAAACCATTATCTTTTAATTTTACATCTTATAGGATGGATGATTGATTTATAAACAGTCTCTTAACAAGTGATAGGTTATGTTTTAGTTGTTATTGCTCTAACCTATTTTTGGCAGTTATTTTGTTTCAACGAGAGATGAAAAAAAATAATTTTGTGGTGGAGGGTCACAAATGGATGAATTGTTCGATGGACCATTCTAATGTGTCAATCAAACTTAACTGACCAATCACAACAAGGCCAGGAATGCGTGCATGTCTTACAAACACACACGTCTAAATACATTTATGCTATTGTTTTGTGGGACTTAAGCAACAATATGAAAGGG